GCTTGTTGCTGAAGGTGGTGAGCAGCTTGTTGTTGTTGTTGTTGTTGAAATTGAAGGCGGAGTTGTCGAAGTTCCTCAGCCTCGGCACAAGGGAAGGTGCTTTGTGGTGGAACAGGAGGAGGTGGTTGAAATGCCTGAGGTGGAGTGGTAGGTCGTGATATGGAGGCGGAACCTGGAGGGGTGGGTTGTGCGTGTAGTCGATCGCCGGGTAGGGGGCGCCACCGAAGAGTCCCGATCAGAGGGAGGTTGAACGGAGACAGGGGGTGAAATGGGTGTGCTGTGTGAAGTAGCTCGAGGTGCTGAGCGAGAAATGTGATGGCTTGCCGGTGTTCGGCCACGATGGGTGCTGGAATGACACGAGCGGGAACGTGCTGAGGGGAGGTTGGAGGAGCGATGACGCTCCTGTGGAGTGTGCAGTTCCCGAGTCTCCCGGGTATGTGTGCGGGAACGATGATGTCGAGAGTGTGATCGGCGACTGGGACGGTTGTTCCGTCGGGAGCGTGACGCCGCAGGTGATCGGCGTCGATGTTCACGTGGTTGGCGAGAGTGGGCAGAGCGGCTCCTGGGATGGGAACGTCGTCGATCAAAATGTCGTGTACGGGTTGTCCGAGAAGTGCGATGGTCACGGGAGGAAAGTGGTTGTCTGGGTCGCGGACGTGGTAAATATGGATTGTGAGGTGGTGGGCCTGTGGCACGAGGGTGAGAGAGTGGAGGTCGGGGACGAGGTGCTTGAACGCGTGGTGGAAAGAGTGGACCAGTGAGATGCGCGGGTGGAGAGGGTGGAAAAGCGGGAGTGGAGAGTGGTCGAGGAAAGGGAAACTGGTGAGGACGTGGTGTTGGGCGGAAACGGTTCGAGGTGAGGTGAGGGTCGGGTGACGCAGAGTCCCCGGTGGCTGTAGCGGAAGGTTGTGGTGGATCTGCGGCGCCGCGTGCTATTTCAGTGCCGGGTGGTGGGTTGATGGATGGTACGGGATTGTTCTCGTCATCGTCACAATCCACTTCTTCAAGGTGTGTGTGAGGTCTGGTATCCCTTGAGCGAGAGGTGCGACCAAGGTCACGTCGTCGATGAGGACGAGTGGATTCCGCAGAGGAACCAGAGCTCGCCATGAAGGAGGCTCGCCCGAAGATGTTAACAGCAAGGATTAGCAACAAGAAAAGGAATGAGAAAAGTGGACGATCATCACGTGAAAATGCATGTCACAGATGCTAGAGCCCAAAGAAAGAAAAATTGGTAAATCGACCATGAAAATGGAAGAGAGTGTCAAAGCAAAAACGCGGTTGCATCAACAGGGTTCAACAAGTACCAAGTAAAAGTTGTTCCTTTTCCAGCGTCTGGTACAGTACAAGGCAAGGTGAGACACAGAAGTTAGGATCGGGTCGAGCGTGGGCGAGAGCGAGATCTCGAACGTATATGAAGACGAGGTCGAGGTACATGGCGAGAGGGTGGAGAGTCCAAAGAGGGAGGCATCCGGTCAGCTGTGTTGTGGGTCCTGGTAGTCCTCGATGACGCCGTAGTGGAATGAGGAGGGGCAGGCAGTGTGGATAGGGATGCTCGATCGCCAAAGTCGGTGCGACCTTCAAGTTCATCTTCAAGTTGTTCCGGGCTCTGTTGAAGAATATGAAGAAGGCCCAAGGCAGTGAGGAGCTCGTGGGTGTAGTGGACGGCGGTGTGGTTGAGGCGAAGGGCAAGGAGGAGCGTATTGTCCAAACCTTCAAGGTGAGCTCGAAGTTGTGGGTGTGTCACCCGATACATAAATGGAAGGGTACGAATGCAGAGTGGGACCTGCAATAGTGAATGGATCTGGGCCAGAAGAACATGTACAAGTAGAAGTTCGCGATGTAGCATTGCTTGAGCGCGAGGTGGAAGACCTGGAATCGGAGCTAGACCACAGGGTGGTGTAGGTGTCGAAGCCATGGCAGAAAAGGCGGCGAGAAACGAGGGAGCGAGACGAGTGATCGCTGGTGAGCCTAATAGAAAAGACGGGAAATTGGAAAATGGGAGGATCAATGTCAAAGAGAAAAAGTGGAGAAGACCAAAAAGGTGATCAAGCTGAAATCCGAAAAACAGGTGTGCTTTTTCTGTACTGCCAAAGCTCAAAGCGGTCTGGCAAGTGAGAAAGCCAGCTAAAATCGGAATCGTCTCGGAGGGGATCGTGACCGAGAAGATGAGCGAGAACGTGACATCCGGGTCAAGTTCAATCCAGGAATCGAAGCAGGAGTGGAAGTATGAAGGATTTGAGGAGGAGAAGGGTCAGTGGTAGTCGTCGTAGTCGTCGAGGGTGGAGAAGGAGGAGAGATGAGAACGTGTAGGCGAGGAAAGGCCATAGATGAAGAAAGGGAGTTGGGAGAGGGAACCATGCGGCCAGTAGTATGTGGAAGTGCCAAAGCGGAGCAAAGCTCATCAGTGTAGACCAATGTAGTACAGGTAGAGCGTCGAATCTGTTCAATGCTGGTCTCAAGGGCACGAAGAGTGGTACGAAGACGAGGACTAGTGATCGTGTCCACAAGGGAAGGAGTGATTGTATCCCAAGGTCCACGTAGGATCAGGAGAATCAAATGTAAAGAAGATTGGATGTGAAGGAGTTCACGATGAAGTACTTCATGAGCGGCAGGAGGTAGGCCGGCAATTGGCGCCAATCCCGTAGGGCGAGTCGATGTCGTCGTAGATGGTGTCGACATGGCGGCGAAAGAACGAGAAATGTACGAGACCGGAAAGG